TACTCCATGAATATCTTTCAGTTTGGACACCCCAGAACTGACGGACACTTTGGAGAATTTGGCTTTAACTTTTTGGTGATGACACATCACAGCAGCATGTCAAAGCACCCTAGCTCAGTGCCTGGCACACACACTGTTCTATTAGCCCATTTCTCTACCTGGGCTGCTGTACAGCCGATGGTATTAGCCCAGGCAAAATGCCTCTGCTATGCTGTTTTCAGGATCCATGCTAGCCTGTTTAACGACAGCCAGTTATAGGGCATTATATCCATATCTAAACCATCCTGACCTGACTGACAGGAGGCTGAGAGGAACAGCAAACTGCTGTGGGTACTCTGGATGGTGAGTAAGACCGTCTTTATCCTCCTGCTGCCCTTTGTGCACACCAATTGCAACGTCAGGTTCTGTTATTTACACTACTTTAAACCTACAATAACAGCGCTACCTCCAAATGTTTTGGATAGACTGTGCTATAAATGAAGACACTTATTTGTGGCAGCATGCATAGATTCATAGATTCAGAGCTTGGATGTTACACACCACATTAAGCTGCAATAAACGCAGCAAAACTGTACCACATTATACTAGGGGAGCGCTTGCCTCAATAGGTCAGATTCGAACAAAAGGCAGGGACTGCGGAGTCCACAAGCAATTTCTGCCTGCATGTTTGCGTCTTCCTTTTTCTCCTGGTTTGTCTCAAGAATGTTTCAGATGATTCATGACCCCATGCTCTCTTCTCCCAAAATATAGCTGCAGAAAAACTGTGCCTCGTGCACATGGAAGCGGGTGGGAATCAGAATACGTGGACCTTTGTAAGTAATCTCCATCAGGCCAACATGCACCATGTAATTTTATGACTCTTCAGGGTTGCTGTAGAGCCTATGCATTTCCTCCCCTCCTCTTCCTCCAGTTTATCCATGATTTTCATGTGGTTTTAATATATATTTTCTGTATTTTCTCCATCCAGCTTTTTGTTTCCAAAACTTCTGGTCAGCTGCAGTACAGACTGAGAGCCAAACAAATTGCTGGGTTCTTCCATGCTTCCTTCCAGAAAGCAGCTTTAAAGTTAAAACTGGTGTTAGACGCTTAAATACCAACACCTCATTTATATGCCAGCCACACCCCTGTATTTAAAAAAGCTGCAGTATAAAAAGGAGTAAGATGGTGTATATATTCTAGGTGGGCAATTAACACAGACCAGCTTCTCATTCCCTCCCACCTCAGGCCACACTGTATGGATGCATAAGGGAGGCAAAGACTCATGTTTACCTCATCAAACTGTAAGGAGATGGGATGTACGAGCATGTGGGGAAATGCTTTGAGTCTCAGCTGCACCAGGGGGATATTTCCACTCATATCCTCTGCATTTTATCCCCTGGACTGCCCTAGCTAAGATTCAGCCCAAGGCTCGGGGCAGACTGACCATAGCCGCCACTTCAGCTATGCCAGGGCTAATCTTTCAGGCAGATCCTGTTCAGGGGCAAAGCATGGCCCAAGCACAACTCACTCAGCCTGACAATTTTAAGGGTCTATGGGAGACACTCGCTTAGTGTGGTGCTGCATATTGGCACAGGGAAACTGTCCCAGGACAGACAAGCCTTCCAACTACTGTATTAATTATGCCTTCGCTATACATCCAAAACACTTTAACCAGCTCCTTCTCCAAGCCAATCTAACAATGTGCCTGCAAAATCCTCCTTAAGATGGTTTTGGAGGCATATTATTTATTTGGCTTACATCTATATTAAAATCTATTTGGTTTATATCAATATTAAACCTAAGCCTTATGTTGGCCTCCTACCCTGAACAATTTCGCCCTTGGGCGCCTAAATAGCCTCTTGCACACACAGTTACTACTACAATCACTCAGACTCCTTCAGGTTATGCTGTGTTCAGGAAAGAGGAGGAATGGGAAGACAACAGCAAAATGCCCACTAACATCAGTGAGGCCAGGATCTGGCATCTGCTGTTTTGCAGATACGCTCTGCCCAGGAAAAGTGGGGTCATCCTGCTGTAGTTGTCCCTTTATTTGCCATCATTCTTTTAATGTGTACAGTGTTGGGGGTGTCAGCAGAATTATCTATCTTTGTTTTCTGTTGCTGTTGAACAAACGTCCTTGAAACCTGTTGAAAGGTTAGCACCTGGCTCCCATGCTTTTGTAATATCCCCCCCCAGATATCAAGGGAAGTTTTGCCTGTGCTGGTGTCAGGCACAGCAGAGACCTAATTATTGTTCTGATCCACTAAGCAACAATTGCATCTACTGTAAACTGAGTGGTAAATTCCAGACTTCATCCCAGAATACTTCTGAGACCAATAAACTTGGATACACTTGGAAAGAGCATTTCTTTATGGGTACATGCCAAAGAGATACTGGGTTCCAGATAAATCTCCAGAGTCAGTCTATTGGACTTCAGTCCATTTACTCCAGGGATGAAGCTGGCTTGGTGTCTTTCCTGAAGAACTGCTGGATAATAATGATTCCTATTTGATTAAAAAGCATGCCAAGAGGAATTTCAGGGTTTAGAAATGTGCTTGTCACTCAAACAAATTTATACTTGGTTAAAAAAAAAAAGTTTGTTGTGTTTTTCCCCTGGACACATACACAATTATCTCTGAAACGTCCCTGGGCTTGAATCCACAGCAGTGTCTCAGGGTCTGCGGTTTGATTATTAGAGGTTATTGCTTGCCTGCCTCTCTTGTCTGTTGTGCAAGCCAGTTCCTCTGCCCTTAATTCACTCTGGGCTTCTGACAACACTGCATTCCTTAATGTGCCATTACTGAACTAGTAAATAAGTGCTGCTCTGCTCTCTTTCTCCCTACCCTAAGCCAAACACGCTGGGTGCTCCTCTGTGGATTTATCTTTAATTTTACAGAATCTTTGGGTAAGCAATACACAGTGAAGTATCTTAGCTGCTGATCTACTGCCAAACATACCAGACTGCCATCCCAGAGAGATGGAAGAGATTTTGTACAGGGTCTTGAATTAATATCTTCCAGCAAGTAGAGAGATGTGTTTGACTTACATTTGGAAAATATCAGTGGGATAGTCCCCACTTGGAGACCTTGCTAAGAGGGAATGTGGGAGGTAAAGGAGGAGAAGAGAGGGCGAGGAAATGCTTTTATCTACAACAAATTTTTTAAGTACAGAATTTAAATCTGGAAAATATTAAGCTTACAAAGTTTCATGTGGACAAGAGAATCCCTATCTCTGCTGCACCGTCTCCCTTATCTGGACTGTATTTCTCACACTTCAGGAACGCTGTTATATGACTACTATCCTCATACTACTATCCTCATATCATTCCACTGCAGCAGACCCATACACTACCCTCTCAACACATAGCTCCATATTGCCTTTACTTCATAAAGCTGCTGCTTTTATTCATGCCTTTGTCCTATCAGCTTCATCTCTCTCCTGTAACAGAGCCTTAAAATGGCAGCATCACTTAGAGGCTTTCCTTGTATCACCTCCATTCTCCACCAAATCCCAGTGTAAACATCTGTACAGGGCACATCTCCACTGACTTCTATGCAGATGCACCAACAAAGAAGTTGACCCAACCTCTCTGGGAACATGCCATCTAGCTTAGACAAATAAATAACTCTGAGCAACCTACCACACTGCTAACCCTTTGTCCATTTTTAGAACTGATCGTTTTTATTGTTCTGAAAAGTCCAAATAAATATTTTTTTCCCTTCTGGTTTTCATCTCAGGACAGAGGTGCCAAACTACTGTGAAAAGAAGTGGTTTACCCCTCACATTTCCAGCCAGAAACAGAAATAGACAACTAAGAATTTTCCTGTGAGATTTCCATCCTTGTTCTGGGTAGAGAAATACGTCTCGCCACAAAGACTCATCCTCAAATGTGACTTCTCCTGCAGTTTGTGGCTCCAAAGCTTTCAGCATCAGATCAAGGTTCGGTACAACATGGTGCAAATTTACAACACTGGGTAAGTGATTTAAAATCAGGAATAATGTTAGTGACCCAGAAACTGGGGCCAGTTTGGGCAGTCTTAAAAGAAGCATCTGAAACATGACATGAAACCAGTCACCAAAACCAGACTCCAATTCTGCTGGCATTTGTACATCCCTAATTCCTGTTCTATATTTGCAGCACAAACCAGGCCCAAAGCAAGAGTAGAGCTTCACTGTATTGTGTATTCCACAATAATCAGCCTTTGCCCTGATCTCCACTGGAAAAGGCAGCCCTAGGGAATGATCAGCAGAGACATACAGGGGTACGACAGGTCTTTGCAGACAAACAGCAGGGTCAGGTGCGAGAGAAAAGCTTGTCTCAAGTCCTGTGAGCTCCTTCTCGCCGCCCTTGACCTCTTCCTTCTCTCCTGTTTTCCCCTGATTTCTGTCTGCCTTTTTTAATTATTAACACTGCGACTGTGCTTTTTAACTCCACAGAACATTTTGTGAAGAAGCATGGAGGAAAGAATGCTCAGTGAAGCATAGTCATACTTTTACTGAAACTGTCATTCGGATATTTCAAAGTGCTTTTCAGACATGGTGAGCCAGGAAAAAAGTTAATCTTGCAAAAGTCTGCACAGTTAGAAATGTCTTTTCCTTGTACCTGAGGCAGAACAAAGACTCCAGCCTTGGTTCAGCATGCCTGCCCTGCTACAGGACCCGTCGAGCACTGGGATACTGACACAGGGATTAGAACATCCAGAAAAACCACTCCTTCCTAAAAAGGCATGGCAACTAATATGCTTCTGCAAACCATTTCCATTCTGTGACCAAAAAATAAGACTAAAAGGCTCCTGACAGGGTCTGTATGTTAGCAACATTGCTATTTCATGGGTATAATCCAAAGGTCAAGCAGATGAAATAGAAGCACAAAACAGTGCCAGCAGTGAAAGAAACACTGCCTTGTTCAAAGACCAGTCCTATGTTCTTTCTTACTGGAAAACTTTGCCTCCTTCCCACTCATTTCTTACACTCATGCAACACTGAATTGCTGTTTTGTGCTAACGATTTCTGTCACTTACCACTGTGCAGCAAAGAGGCCAGAACCACCAGAGAAGAACCAACGCCAGCAGGAGGAAGAGGATCAACAACGCAATAGCCAGGATGGTCCCATCTGACTGGAAGAGAAACACAGAGAGCCTGTGAGCACCACTAGCGCACAACTCCCCTCTCCACGGTACCTCACCTGCGCATCCTGCCTCCAGGCAAGGACACGCTCAAAGGCCATTGCCATACTCCATTTATTTTTCATACAAAACGCAGTCTTCCTCCCTTCTCACACATCCAAATGTGGCACCCACCCCCCACCTCATTGCAAAGAGGCTGAGACCTCTAGCTCCCTCCCCAGACAGTTACAGGTTTTTGTCTCGATTTTTGGAACCTCACCATTATGTAAACCACTTATTTCACTTCAGATCAAAATTAATGTAATATTCCTCAGAGTATTGTGAAGACTGAAAAAAATATTTAAAAGAGAGCTCACAACACAATGTTTCATTGCAGTTTAAGCATTCTCCTTTCTTTGCAACTCTTTTCCCTTCTTGCAGTATAAACTTGAAAGCGATGTTAAAGTTTACTCCAACAGAAAACTTGAAGCAAGATCTCTATGGGCCCACAACTCAGGTCATCCTGCTCCTCTTAGCAGTGCCAAGTCAGGGTAATTCTACCATGAGCTTTTTAAGGAAGTTTGAACATACACACCATCACAACAATATACAGGGGTTTTCCACATCAGAAGCCATTAATTCTAGAAGATCCTTTTCCTCTCTAACTGGGATAATTCCCCCATTAAAAAAGGCATTTGCCTTCTCTGATATCAATTAACAATGCAAACTGCTGCATAAGCTGGCTCAATATAGCCATCAAAACCGAACGTGCATTATTTCTTGTCACTTAGATTTAACCCAAACCAGATGTTCTTGGCTTCCTGAGGCATGCCAACTTCCCTATAGCACTCCTCCCCAGTATCATCCTATTCCGAGATAAGCAAGCAGGCAGTCCTGACTTAAGCCTGTTGGAGATGTTCTTGACGTAAGAGCCAGACATTTAAAAAACTCCACCCAAGTGTCAAGATCACAATGCCAGATTAAGGACACATTCAAGAGCAGACTGACCTGTAGGATGGGAAAATTGAGTGCCTGCTTAAGTCACTGTAATTCAATGGCCAGATGATCCCCCCTCATACCATAATGGGAAGAGTAATGGAAAAAACAATCAGGTTGAAAGCATTTTCTAAATTCTTTTCTGGTGTAGAAGAAATTTCTGGAGAGCTTTGATCAAGACAACCTGATCTTTGACACTTGGAAACAAGAGGGAGTCCCCACAGGAGAATTCACCCAAGACTTCTCTGGAAATGGAACTTGGACCCCAACACAAAATAAAAGCTCATTTGAGAAGACCGAGCTGCACGTTTGGTGCTGTTTCTCTAGACAGACAGCATAAAGCCACATCCATCATCTGCAAAATGGAACCTGCTGATACTCAACGCTTTAGAAAAATGTGATCCTGACTCTTTCCTGCCATGAAATTGTAGAAGAAATATGGCTTTTTATGTCTAATTGTTATCTGCCCCTTCTGCCCCTATATTGAAACAAATATATCATTAAGAATACTTTAAAATCAATCTTCAAAAATACGAAACAAATTAAAGTGGCCTTTTAACTGTTTTGTTCTGGGAATTTTTTTTTTAAAAAAACAGGTTTTTACTGGCCCCCATCCCCTCCCGCCCCCAAGACAATCTGTGAAGACCAATTTACATTACCCTAACACATCTGTTTCTCTACAAGGCAGCTGATGTGGTCAGCTGCTATTCTGTGTATCACAGCAGCAAAACAGTCCGGAGGACTTAAAAAGTTTTGATTTGCCAAATCTTACGTTTCTCACTCAGGTAATGCCTCTTGCTAAAGCCAGTGCTGCCTGGCAAGCCTGCAGGAGTAAGCCCCCTTCCAATATCTAAAACAGAACATCTTCCCCCCGTCCCCCCGCCCCCCCCAAAAAAAAAATCTGGTTGGATTAATTCCTTTTCTTGTATTTGAGCAAACATCAAGATATTCCAGACAAACATGAACTGAATTCTCTGGGCTCAGACATAGCTTCAAAGTGTCAAACTGAGACCCTTAATCAGGAACTGCAAATCCTGCCTTCATCTGCTCTGACTGCTGTCACTGCTGTAAACTGGGCTTTGAGGGAAGCCTGGCAAGTCAAACCAGGACAAAGCACATATACACAATAAATCCTACTATAATCATCTGAAGTGGCCTGAACTCTGCTTTTGGTTTATCTTTATTTGATCAGTTTCTGCTAGAATTTAGCTATCATTCTGTATAATATCTAGAACCCTGCTTAGAAACTGCCACTTATCCAAGCTGAAAAATAAACAATAGTTTGCAAAAGTTCCACCAACATTTTGAAATCTTTCTCCCAGTCTTATAGCTGGTTAAAAAGGGCTGAAGCATTTCAAATGTCTGTTTTCATTCCATTATTTTTTTTAATCAAAATTTGGAAGAACAATACAAATGTTCATGGAAACACTGAACCATGGAATAATTCAATGAGCTGTGTTTAACACATATTGAACAAAGGCTGTCAGACCAAGTAAACTTTCATTTTAAAGACAAAAAAGAGAATTTTAACACTAAACTAGTGAATTTTCCGTAAAAAATACCTATGGAGACAAAGCGTGGCTAGCCCCTAAATACACACAGTTATCTGAAATCAGTAATACTTTCCCATAGGGATTCATCTTGACTACTTAGAGATAAAACTGCGGTGCTTGTACCCATAGTGAGATCAACAGCCTAAAACTCCATTACACCTGAACGCCTGAGAAAAGCCAGACGACTAAGATACCTGTCAGGATGCTAAGTGTAAAACATTGGCAGCTTGCTGCTTGACAACTGCTGAAGACCTAGACAATGCCTGGAGTCATTGTTTTGAAATGCCTTGCTGTCATATCAAGAAACAGTACAATGAAAAAGAGCAGGCTCTTTAAATGACCTTTCAACACGCTACACATTTGACATGTTAAAACTCTACCGTGTAGACTTTGAAACAAACAAGCTGGTAGAGAAAGCAAGGCAGCTGTGCCTTGAAGCCTCCTTTTCCCTGCCAGAGTCCAACAAGGCCAAGAAAATGCTACAGCTATTGCTGGCTGTTGAAGTACAATGGAAAACAACCTCTGGAAGATACTGTAAAATATAAAGATATCAAGAAATCTGAAGCAGGACACATCAAAGGCATCTCCTCATACATAGGTAGGGGGTGTGTGTGTATACATATATATTTTTAAATATACATATATATATGTATGATTTCACTCAGCAGTTATTGTGGAACTGTTATGGACTCTGAGAAGCCAGACTGTGACTGGGGGAATCCTTTTGTCCCAGGACAGCAGCCGGCGCACCTCTTGGGCTGTAGGTGCTCCTAGAGAGAAGAGGGGAGGGATGGCAAAGTCTGATCCAGTAAACGGCGTCGGCTATTTCCTTAAATCCACCCACAAACATTCAGATATGTGCTGTCCTACAAAGGAACACGCTCCTTTAAGGCATGCACGCAACCCCTGGGAAGACCCCCTCTAACCAAAAGGTTAGTATAAGCCAGGTGCACGCACATTCCCTTAACAGTCAGGGAGCAGGGGCGACCACTCCAGCGATGGTTGTGCCATGGAGGAAGTGACTCATTGTCCAGAGTTCTTTTGCCATTGCCTACTCAGATTCCTGCCTAAGACCAAGCTCCTAAAATTTTGCCCCAGGAAGCATGTATGCAATCATGCAGAGACACACAGCTAAGACAGAATCTGTGATTTTAAGCCCCCTATTTCATCTCAGACATCCTCAGTGCTTCTAACATAGAAACAAACATAAATCAGTTCATAAACAAACAATAAATCGGTTCATTGGCATTTCAATGGAACTATGGCTTATTTCTCAGGGTTTTCCAAAAACTGCTACTATGCACCAGATGGGCATTTTTTGTTGCGTTTGGGTTTGGTTTGTTTTTTCCAATCTTCTTATTTTTGTTTAAGATTTTATTTCCCAGTTTGTCACTTTACTGCACTGGCATTTGCAGCATACATTAGCCATTCCAGAAAGGTAACCTGGAATAACAACCCCAAAGCGCACAGACACTCAAAGGCTTTGACTACTGACATTCAGGAGTGATGAATGAAGTACTAGGTGCATCTAACGAATGCACTCATGTACTATGGCTGACAAATTAATGCACTGTTGATTTATAGGGAGAGGGAGGTGGGTAGCATGCATGCTTGTTACCACAGCAGTAAATGGATTTAACTTTAAGCATGTGTTTAAATGTGCTGACTTCATGCTGTGCCTAAGAGGGATGGACTTCTGTTAAATACATGCATCAAGCACTTGGCTTCAGCAGGCTTTGAAGGCTGGGTTCAGTAAAAGTATTTAGTCCTAACTCCTACAGGCTTCACGGGAAAGTAAGAAGCCTAAATACTCTGATTAATCTGGTTCTGCACCCACTACTCCAGCAAACAGAAGCTATGCGCCCTATTAGCTAGCTGCTCTCAGGACTAGCAGTCGCCTGTGCTGTGCGGAAGAGCTTGTGGGAGCCTTTCCAGCTGTTAACTGCAGCAGAGGACGTAAGGCTGCCATGCAGCCCCGTGATGTCACCTCCAGGGCAGGCGGGAAAGCTGCCATCATTACTGCTTCAGGGCTAGGAGTGCAGAAACATCTGCACTGCTACCAAGACTTGGGACCAGCAGCACGAAGACAGCCATATAACCAAGTCTCACTTCAGAGTGACTCTACAGTAATAGCAACTTAAATAACACTTATCACTGCTAAACCTTAGGTGCTTTACAAAGAGGAGGAACACAGTTAATGTCATTCCAGAGATGGGGAAGAGGTGAATGTCTCCTGTATCCCAGTCCTTTTTTACATTTTCCAAGCTGGAAGAGCAATAACATGCTGAAAGCCTTCAGACGTGTTAGTAGGAAAAGAATGAAGTGCTTTTAAAAAGCTTTATGAAAATCTCGACTACAGTTTTGAATAAGCATCCAAAATCTGGCAGAGGTTTTCTGCCTGGAGAGAAAGGAGAAACAGTTTTAATGTCCTTTAGTCAACAGGGGAGGGGAAGACAAAGAATG